ACTTGGGAGGCAGAGGCAGGAGAATCGCTTGAGCCCAGGAGCTGGAGGTTGCTGTGAGCTGTGACACTACAGCACTCTACCTAGGGCAATAGCTTGAGGCTCTGTCTCAAAAAAAAAAAAATCAGATGGTGAGATGAGGCTGGGTTCATCCCTAGGTTCTCTATTCTGTTCCATAGATCTATATTTGTATTTTTGTGCCAGTGCCATGCTGTTTTGATCACCGTGGACTTGCAGTATAACCTGAAGTATGGTAACATGATGTCTCCAGGTTTGTTTTTATTTCTAAAAATTGTATTGGGGAGGGAGGGGTTTCTGGTTCCATATGACACGAAGTAGTATTTTTTTAAGTTCTTCAAAGGATGAAGGTGCTTTGATGGGGATTACATTAAATCTGTGATTGCTTTGGGTAGTATGGACATTTTAAAGATGTTGATTCTTCCCAGCCATGAGCATGGTATGTTCTTCCATTTTCCTAGCTTTTAAGGTATATTTGGACTGGGAAGGTGGGGATTGCAAGTTCATTTTTTACTGTACGGTTGGAACTAGAAGGTCTCTACCTAAATTGCAATTATTTAACAATATCAGCAAGCAATGAAAACAAATGTGTTTGAGGGCTGGAATTAAGAAATGAAATCTTTCTTTTAAAAATTGCCTTTAATATTGTAATGCAACATAACTCAGGGGGGAATAAAAGAGCTGACCTAAATACGACTAGTAAAACGAAAAAGAGGCTCTACTGTACAAGTTTGGGGGGTTAAATGTTTATTAAACCAGGCTTTTAAATTATATATCCACCTATAGTCTGTAAACAAATACAGTACACATGTAAGAAAAAGGTTAGCAGGTAAGAACTTATGGAAAAACCAGTATTCCCTTTGTACACCAGCACCTCACCACAATACCCTCCCCCTAGGTTGGTGCCATGGGACCATGATCTAGTTAAAGAGTTAAATGAAAAACCAGAGGTTTAGCTCAACCCCATCTCCTGGGGTGGATTTCAAGACAGATACTTGTTCTACATTATAGTAGGGTGGATTAGATCAAGGCAACAGTGTAGTTTTTACATTCACAGATTGGCTAAAATAGTACAAACTCAACTTCCAATCTTGGGGTCTCCCTCTTTGTAATACCATGATTAATAAGAAATGTGAATTAAAATACATGATGAACCACAGATGATTACAAAAATAGATAACTTGCAGAGGAATAAATATCTATAGTTAGCAAAGCATAAACTTACAAAATTTACCTTTTTCCATAATGTGCAGAATATTGTAAGTATGTTCAAGAGGTACAGTCAGCCGACTTCAGAGTGGTAATTTTGAGGGCATTTGTTTACAGGAAAAACACTCAAGTACAAAACCCAGAGCAGGAAGCGGAATGCGGATGAGAATACACAAAACACACAGAATCCCAATTCCTCACATCTCATTACCCTTCTTAACAGACACAATTAGCTTACAGCCCTTTATGTATCTTAAAAAGTAACTCTGTTACCTATGTACAAACTTTAAAAAAGATTTATCATGAGACAAGCAAGAACTGATTAACTTAACGGTGGTACTAAAACCGCTGAAACTTGTAACATTTTGTGTGCTTTCATTTACTTCTGTGTATGGGGCTTTAAACTGCCCACCAAAATGTTTTAGAGTTTTTAAAATTTCCATGAAAATCGATTCTATAATCATTTCAGGGAGACAAGGAAAAAAATCCCAAACTGGGGTTGGAGGGCAGGCCCAAATCTTACAAAGTTAAGTGGAATTTCATGAGTATATAAATTACATTCACATGGTTCCTTTAATACTTATCAACTGATACATAAGGTAACTGTATAATGCTATTCTGAAACCAATCTCGTTTAAAATTAAGGTGCAGTAATTCCCATTCTCATTCTAGAATTAAAAGCACTTACTCCATACAATGTGCGTTTCAGTGACGTTGACATCTACTTGGTTGTAGGACAGTGCCACCTTAAAGCTTCGATAAAGATTCATGGCAGACCTGAACTGTAAAAGTTCAGAACTAACAATACCACAGGTAGTTACTCATCTTAATTTCTTGCAGGGAATCAAGGGTCTCCTTGACTTGTCATAAGGTTACCTCAGCTTAGAACAGTGTTCCTCAGAGACGCTGGCAAATTTCCTTGCCAAAAATGCCGGTATCTGACATCCCTGGGACTTGCTAGTTTATGTAAACAAGTCCCACTTACATATTAAGATACATTCTATACCTTTGGGCGGGGGGTATAGACGTAGCTTTTCCCAAACTCATTTGCCCTTTCTGGGGAACACCTGGAACAACCACAGGACACTCACTACCTGCAGATCATGGTTTGAGGAGAGCCAAGCTAAAGTCAATTTTCTAAAATAGTGGTTCTCAGACTGTAGTTAAGCATCAGAAACACCCAGAAGACAAGCTGAGGCTCACTTAGCACAGCACGTCAGGAGTCTGGGGTAGGACCCACAAACCTGCACGTCTAAGACACCCAAGTGAAGCTGATGTTGCTGACTAAAGACCACACGTAGAGTGGTGCCCATGGAGATGATGACCTGCCCAAACCTCAGGACACCCTCCTGTGCTTCAGGAAGGGCTGTGCACGGTGTTTGCCATAGCCAGTGAGCTGGAGGTGGAATCAGCCCTGTGGCTTCTTTGACGCTCTTGCGCCTTGGTGCGGCACTTCACTCCTGGCTCTGCCCCAGCTCGCTTGGTCACCAGGCAGAGTGGCTGCATCTTTACAAGAAAAGCATAACCGTGGCCTCTCAGGGATCTGCGAGGCTAGACATGTGTGCAAAAAAGCCCTAACTAACTGTGGTAAACCAGAAGAATGTGTCAGTCACAGCAGGGAAGTCCCGGGTGAGCATTCTGTCTTCTGTTGCCGCTGACCCTTTACAGAAGCATATTCTGGCAGCTAATGAAGGAACAAAGGCTAAAAATGCAGAGAACTGCAGTGAGAGGGAAGTATGTAAGTGGATCACCTGATTTAAAATATCTAATTGTTAAAAAAAATCACCCCACAATCAAAGCAGTTAATTATGCTGGCTTTGAGATAGTGTTTAAAAGTTAAATCAGTTGATCTGTGAACACATTCACTCCTCCACTCTAACTACCATGTTAATGCTGGTTAAATTTCAACATCGAAAGAAAGAGAAAAAAAAAATTCCCCCACTCATGTGCATATGGATTACATCTAACACATTTAGCTGAGATGGTTCCAATTTTATAAGCTACTACAGTGGGGAAATTTCAAAAACGATTTTTAAAAAGGACATTTAATTTTGGTTGGTAGAAACACCCACAGCATGAGACACAAACACACACTCGCACATTCATATGTGTGTTCAGTTGTTGCCTGGTACGTCTTAACCAAGGAACTCCCTCTCCTAATTCAAAAATGAACCTGTAAAAATTCATACACATCCTTGATGGGATTAGACTCGAGCCAACATCATGGTGCCAGGTCTCGGTTTCAGATCAGAAGGCAGAATTTCCCAACACGTTGCATGATTCCCTTTATATATGCTCTGGATGACACTGGAGACAAGACAACATTTCTTGAACGGGTCGGCCTTCATAGCAGATCTGATACACTGCAGTGAACAAGGGAAACCTAGTTGGGAGGAGATGTGAAAAGACAAGGTTAGGCCATGTGGTTTACCTCAGAGAACAAATTAGTTTTTCTGTGCTGCCTAATGGACTGCAGGTTAGCACCTTACTTTGAAAAACACAGTGACCACTTTCTTCACTCCTCTATTATGTAGCCTGAAGAAGCCTCTGTGCTGCGGCTGTTAGACCTTGGTATGACCTAGTCCATCTTCTGCCTAATTGAGTCTAGGGTGCACTGTTTACAAACAAGTCACACAGTACTCCCTCCAGGGTATAAAAAAACGTGGTCATTTATGTAAAGAGCTCTGGTTCAGGCTCTTGGTCAAATCTGAAATGAGTCCAAATATCGGTTAATGTTTTAAAAGATGGGGGAATAAATTTTAAATTTCAAGGAGGTATTGGTCTCCCTTCCCCAAAAAGGATCATCTCCAAATGACAAAGAGTCAATCCACACACCACCATAAATAAGCGGGCCTTGAATGCTCCTGCAGGAATCAAAGAAGGGACACACAATCAGCAAAGCACTCATCTAACTGGAAGCTTGATTTATTTTGCCTTTTCTTTTAAGATGTGAATACAGGCCGGGTGTGGTGGCTCACGTCTATAATCCCAGCACTGTGGAAGGCCGAGACTGGTGGACTGCCTAAGCTTCCCAGTGAGACCTCATCTCTAAACATAGCTGGTGTTGTGGCAAGCAACTGTAGGTCCCAGCTACTTGGGAGGCTGAGTCAAGAGAATACCTTGAGCCCAAGAGTTTGAGGTTGCTGTGAGCTGTGACGCCATGGCACTCTACCCAGGGTGACAAAATGAGACTCTGTCTCACACATACACACACACACACAAAAGGGGGTGAATACAGATACAAGGGAAAGTTTGAAATGGATGAGGGTACAAAGGAATGGGCTAATAATCCATTACAAGAAGAGATAACATTATCTCAGGGTACAGTCGCCTCAGCAAGCATTTTTTTCTAGCAGCAACTGCTAAAGAAATAACTGATTTCAATCAGGCTTTTAAACACACACACAGAGCCCAAGTGAGCTTAGCAGAATCAATAGTCTTAAAGGCCATTCTGAAAATTAGCCGGGCAGAATCCTATAATGACAATTTAATTTAAGAAGAGCAAATAGTGCAAAGAGATCACATGTCTTTATGAAAGTCTATCACTGTAGGTTTTTCCCCCCTTTTTCTTTCTTTCTTTCTTTTTAAAGACATCACGCTGGGGTGCAGTGGGGAAATCATACATGGCCTCTTGCAGCCTCGAACAGCTTAATGATTCTCCTGTGTCAGCCTCCTAACGAGCTAGGAATCAGGTATGTGCCACTCTGCCTGGCTAATTTTTC